CCCCCCCCCCCCCCCCCCCCCCCGCGTACCCCCTCGAGCGTCCGGCACCGAGAGATTCGATATTCCGCCCGCTCTCGGTGGTCAGCTTCATCAAATCTCTACAATATACCACCGAATATATCAATGCTTGGTACACGTAAACAAAAGGGAGTCCGTTCTCCATTTCATTATAACACAATCGGACTGCTATCGAATGACCCCCTCCTTCGTTCTGCCTGGCCGCGTGCCTCTTTGCCAAGCCGTCAAGTCCGTTGCCGGCGTCTCCGGCTTCGGCATCACGGCGCACGTGAGTCCGCCACAAACATGACCACAATTTTCAATCGCGCCTATCGAGAAAGAAAGGTCAAGAGAGCAACATACGACGGGAGCAAAAACCTGGTTCATATCGATGTAATTGCGTTGACCCCTGGTGTGCGCGGGAAGAGGGACAAGTCCACGTCGGGCAGCAAGGGCTGGGGAAACGGTTTCCATGAGCGTGGAGGAATTTTTCCAGAGCCACGCACTCGTTCCGAAACTGGGCGGCATCGATCCTACCGCTACTGGAGGCGCCGCCACAGCGCTCTCTAAGTTGTAACCGTTGTACTGCTGCAGCACCTCCGACGTCCGACGATTCGTGGGAGAGTTCGGCATCAAGACATAGGTCGCTCAATCGCTCCCCTGTGGGTGCCCATTGTGCCTTGTGTTGCGGACTGCTGCTTGAGTTCTCTTGCTGCCGCGCGAGACAAAGATCGCTTGTTCAATTGCCGTGGCAGAAGCAGAAGCTACAAGAAACGCCCATCCGACGGAAAGAAAAAAACACAATCACCAATCATCGTGTACAGCACGGGTCCCCAGTCAAGAAAAGCCGAACTCGGGTCGAGGTTTAATTTCTTTCTATGCATACATATAGGTTAATATACAGACGTCCAGAGTAGCATCCACCGCTGAGCAAATACTCTACAAAAGCTGTACAGGTATTCCTTAACCCTATTCCCTCACGTTTCGTCATCACTCGAGCCTCTAGTACATGACGGACGTTACAATTTCTTCGCTGCGGGCCCGACCCGCATTAACACCACGCGCACCTGCAGCAGGCCCGCTCAGACCGTGACCAAGATGCTCGCCAGCAATCGCCGGTCCTGCACCAAGGTGTAGGCCGTGTAAGCGCTCGCGATCGCCGCCATCGAATTCGGAAACAACGTTACCCATTTCCTCGGCAATTCGTCATCCTCCCGTGGTGTTAAGCTTTCGCGGCGGCGATACGAGACAGGAGACGCGCATCACGGAAAGGACGGACGAATCAGGAGGGGGGCAGCGGAGAGGCGTTGCGGCCAGCAAAAAATCAAAAGACGTCAGTCTAACTGCGGCAAAAAACGGAAAACGATTCTATAATAAGAGGCCTTGATCTGGGGATAGGCTATTCCCAGAATCCTGTGTGTTTATGGTGAAGCATCGACAGCGCTGACAGGCTGACCGATCTAAAGACGTCCGTCTTTGTGCCCCAAGAAGCGGAAAACACTTGAATTTTAAGGTCAAGCGTATGTTCACAGGTGTGCTTGTGCCATGAGAGCCGACCCCGTCATACCTCCGGCTAGAGACTTTCATCCCACACCCAGGTGACTACACAGGATACACTATAGTTGTATGGCGTTAGAAGCACCTCATCTCTGCAAGAAATGTCCGAAAACAGTTCGACAAAACGTTTGGAGTTTCCTCGCGCTCTTCATGACAAGACCGAACGAGCAATGAAAAGCGATCGGTTCAGGTGATGTAAATGCATGCCGTAGTCGTTAGACCATAAACTTCGCATCCCTAAACTCCGGGACGGAGCGACATGCCTTTCGGGTTTTCGCCGGCCCAGGCTACGTCTCACAAGGATGAAGCTCAAGCTGGTCATCACCGTGCGTTTGCTGTGCCAAGTCAGATATGCCATGGGTTGATTTGGATGGGTCGGCTCTGGGGGGAGGGGGGGGGGTAACTCTACTCTAGACAGTAAAATAAAATAGGAGGCGTTTTTCTCACCTCCACGTGACGATCCACACGTCAGCCGCCGCCAGTAGAAAGCAAATAATGATCGCCAGGATTCCGAGCGGGAGGTTTACGTCCTCAACCTTGGTCATGAATAGCCTCGCGGACATCGCAACCCCGGCCAAATAGACAACCCATTGGAAGCCTGGCAAGGGGCAACACAAGGAGCTACAGCAGGTTAGCGTCGTCAAATGCTTCACAGAAGGCAAGAGTGAAGAAGGGCTACGGTCGCGACTATTTATATCAAAGAGGATGGTTTCAAGCTCGGCTGCGCCAGAGCACGCTTCCAATCAACGTTTGTTTCGATGCGCTGCTGCTCAACGGGGCCAGAACATGCTTCCAATCACCGGCTGTTTCCATGTATTCCACTTCGACTGGGTCAGAGCATGCTCCGAATCAACTAGTATTTCCATGTATTCCAGCTCAACCGGTCAAAATATGCTCCTAACCGAGGAAAATTCACGTAGACCGTACCGTACCTGGATAAAATGTAGATCCGAAGAAAAAGGCCACCCCGTGCGTGACCAGCAACAGCAAGCCCGTGAACTGCGGGTATGCATGAAGAGGTGGAAGGCGTCAGGGTTTGGGGGTCGGACAGCAGTAACAAAAAACACGCAAGTCGGTGGCTCCAACTCCAACATGCCTCTCGCTCAAAACGGAACGAAGAGTCACGCGCGCGGGCACAGACGAACGAACAGATACCTCAGCAGGACTGCCACGTGGTCGTGTGGAGTCCTCTTCCATTGCAAGTATTCTTACTCCTGAGACTGGACCCTGTCGTCCAAGGACTAGCACGCGTTTTCGCTTTTCATATTCCGCTGAAAGACTGACACCGTTTCATTTGCCAGTCAGTCACACTTAGCACGGTCTCGATGCCAACCAAAGAAACACACGAAACAGTGCCGTGAAAATCAAACCAACCGATTTCGTCTTCAAACTTCACAGGATACCATTCAGAGGAATGCGGAGCAAGGGGGGAAACAGCCAAGCACAGCCAAGACGTAGCGCCAAATACCGAGCCTAGCAATGACCCACCCGTCTTCTGTCCTCCAAGATGTTGCTGGGGATGTGGATCTTTGCCGCGTAGATGCTCACAACACCCGCCGCCAGCTGTGGCAACGCCCGCACCCAATCAGCCTCGAGGTTCAACCTGCTCTCGTACGGGCGGGAGAGAGGAGCGCGAGGTAGCGGTGCCGTCTTCATACTTGCTGATACTCTTTACTCTTCCCATCCATCTACTCTGTTTCCAATCTATATGTACACGTTTCGGTGTATGCTTGACCTTTAATCAGCCGGGGTCAGTCGCACAGGAGGACGGTAACTCTACTGCTGCAGCCTTTTTTTGCCCTTCCGTATCGCATTAGTAGGTTGGTGTTGTTGTTTTTTCGAGTTTATTTCATCCTTGCTTACAAGAGCATCCGTGTAATGTACGAAGAGGGCTACGTCCCAACTACACGAAGCATGCTGCTGAGTTGCCGGGCTCTGGGTCGAGAGCATCAAGTGTTATAATCTCTGCATCGTGACGCCTCGCACATGCAAAGCACTAAAATAGCCGCAGCATTTCACAAGCAGCAGCAGCAGCAACAGCAGCAACAGAAGCATCCGCGTCTCACTCACCACACCCACGCCCAAAACAGGTCCACCGCCGCCAGAAAGAAGCAGCAGACCATCACCATCTCCTGGTACACCGAGTTGTCCATGTCGCGGACGAAGAACATCCTCGCCGAGACGAGGATGATGATGCCGCGAGCTACCCAAGACGGGATGGCACCTAGTCATTGTTTCGCGTCCATTCGTGAAATCGTTCGTCGATTCGTCGGTTAGACAGTTTGATCGGCGGTTGGAATCAGCATCGAATACACGCAAAACGTTAGAACGTCTCCCCGAGCACACGTGGGCTGTCCCACAGTCATGTCCTCCTGGCCTTTGATGCTCTGCAAGTAGTTTCCTCCGTTAGCAGAAAAGACCCGCCGGGTCGGGCGGCGCGCGCCCGACCGGTTTTCGTCGCGAAAAAACTCTTTTATTCTTTCCCGTTACAGCTGCGCATGTGAAACCGTCACGGACTCTTCGCCTCTTTACTTTCCCCTCCCATTGAAGAACCTTCGCTCTTCTTTCCATTCGCCTCTCTCTCATTTCTGTTACCGCGAAACTCCTTCACATTTCTTTCTTTTTATGCCGCTCCCTTTTCCCGCCGTCGCTGCCCGCCTCATTGGAGGAGACACATGGTACAGTGCAGTCACGTAAATTTCCGGTGATGGCCCCTCGTGTCACGCGTACGTCTAACGGCCCTACTGCCTCGCCTCTCGAAATGAAGAGCTACATTCAAAAACCCGAAACAAACGCATCCCCCCCCCCCAGGACTGCTAAAAAATACCTCGCGCGTGGATAGCCCTGGTCATGAATAGTGGTTGAAGCGAACTACTAGTGTACTTGATCGCGTACATGCTTCACCCTCGAATATCGTTTCCTTTAATGTTGATGGAGAAACTACTGTACTGATGTGCTTTAGTACCATGCATGATACCGCTGCAACCCTCACCGAGAACCAGCGAGTAGGCGAAGGTCATGGCGGCGATGTGCGTTATAATCAGCAGCAACGCCAAAACCTGCGAAGCGACAAAACAATCCAAAGCGGGCATGTCAACATCAGAGGCAAGACGGCACGGCGATAAGATAGGTGTATGCATACCAGATATGCAGATGTAGTTGGAAACTGCGATCAACGGATACAACGTAGGATTGACAGCAAAAACAAACAAACAGACAGATTTGATGAAGCGGCACAAGAATGATATTTCTCACGACCATTAAGTTTTCCACCCGAATCGCCCAGGGTCATACGTAGATTGGGCCAGAATCAGATGCGCTGATGCATGTATGTTACGGTAATGTCGAGGAGGCGATCGGTGGCGGTGGCGGCGACGGTTGCGCAGTTTGGTGGCCTTCTAGTTTGCCTCGGCAGCTTTCTCTGCTGCCGCTTTTGAAGCACCAATTCCCGCGCATGCTGCGCGGCAGCGGCCTCTTCCGCTTGTAGCGGCGTTGGCAGCAGCGGGGGGGCTTCGCCGCTCATCAATGAACAGTGGCGTGCCGTCGACAGCGCCCCCGCTGTCAACAAGTTAAAAGCGGAAGAGGCCGCTGCCGCGCAGCATGCGCGGGAATTGGTGCTTCAAGAGCGGCAGCAGAGAAAGCTGCCGAGGCAAACGAGAAGGCCACCAAACTGCGCAACCAGCGCCGCCACCAACCACGTCCGCACAGCAACCGCTAATTACTCGACGCTTGCTGGCTCCAACACGCCAACTGCGGCACTGCCCGCTTGTTGGATGCTGTGGCTCGGCGTGCCGGTGCTGCTCCTGCGGAGGTGCTTGGCGGCGGCGCTGCGGCTCTGTGTAACCACTTTTCTCTTCCTTATTCCCACCGGCGTGTTTGAGGTTCCCTTGCTAGCCTTTGTAGGGCTTTCAACGCCAACCGCAACCGCGGATGACTCCACAACGGCGGTATTGCACGCCCTCCGTCCCGGTGCCGCCGACAGCACCACAGGGAGAACTCCGCGCGTCAGCCTTTGGCACGCGTGTACTTCGCCCAGCGCACGACAGCTCCACTTCTGCTACCTCAATAACCCCACCGATGCCGACAACCGATGCTTCCATCGGCTCTCCCCATTCTCGCACTGCTAGCCACGCCCCGCCTAGTACTGCCACCCCAACACAAGGAGAACTGCAACACGTCTGCCACGGACACACAAGTACTTCGCGCAGCACACGACAAAAACGCCTGTGCCTCCGTCAACACCCCCAAGCGTCGACGACAACCGGTGTTTCTACGTTTTCTACCGGCTCTCGCAACAGCGGCACTTCGAGGTCACCTCCACCTTGCAGCACTACGTAGATATGACTACAGTCGATCCTGCCGTTTTGCTAGCCGAGAGCGTAGCTCTCTTGAATCCTTCGTGGAGATGTGGGAGAGGTCGGTGAGGCTCCGTATTCTCGAATCTAGAGTTGGTCCCTCAAATGGATTGCTATTTTCTCCCCTCTTTCGGGTTTTAGCCTCTTCGTGTATGTCCCCTCAGGGTTGGGCTAGTGTAACGGTATTTGGACCCTTGAACCAAGATATCATTCGGGCGGGTATATCTTTTAGAAACATCCCGACCACCTTCCCCGATTCCCGGTAGGTTGGTGGTTGGTGGTGCACGGCCGTTCTTAGTTGGTGGAGTGATTAGTCTGGCCGATATTAGGCAGGTAGCGGTACGATGGTTGGTACTATTCTAGCAGCAGCAAGCGATGTACAAGCGTTCTCTCTTGCTCAGTGTTTCCTTTTATAGGAGTGAGCGATAGATAGCGAGCGACTGAGGGACAAAGGAAGGATCAGGAAGGAATTGGACTGAAGCGAAGCGACTTTAACCTGCACACAGCAGTGGTCGGACTACTCGAGCTCCACACTGCAATTTCATCCAATGTAGATAGGAAGCGCAGATGCGGCACGGGAAACGAAGTAGCCCCGGAAAATTACTTCTTGGCCATGCATCGGCAGCAACACTTGAAAAAAAACGTGTGTGTTGTGGTTGGGGGTGCGATGACCGGCGTACGTGCGATATCCAACACTGTCACGGCCGTACTGCAACAGACAGGGTTTCAATATACAATGGTATGCGATGCCGCCATGTTTATGATAGTACAAATACACATTTCACGCGTGAAACCGCGAGGAACCTCCGGCGCAAGAGTCCCGGAACCACTCGGGACACTCGGTATCGGTGATATTGCACCCGCGTGCGTGCGATATCACCGACCCTTACGCGAAAATCGAACAAACATATCATTTGCTCTTGGTTTCTTGTCCTACGTGGACGGTGATATTGTACCCGCGTGCTTGCGAAAAATCGAACAAACATAAACATATCATTTGCTCTTGGTTTCTTATCCTACGTGGATGAGCTATGCATAGATACAAAATCACGGGTACGTGCGATATCACCGACCCGTGCGTTCTCTCGCATCCTTACGGAAAATTGATGAATTCATGCACCCCGTTGCATTGTTGGGGGGGGATGAGGCGGGCGCACCCAACCGTCCACTACTATGTACAGTAGTCGGCCCTACCACCGCCACCAGAGAGAGAGAGAGAGAGAGAGAGAGAGAGAGAGAGAGAGAGAGGTATAAAGTGTGCTTGTATGCTATTTAGTGTACATTGTATTGGTGTCAAGTGTCACGCCACATGAACGTTCTAATACTTGGGGTCCGCGCTCGCTCGTTCGTAAAATGGAGGTTCGCAACCAAGGAAAGTGATTCCTGTTCCATGCAAATACGGAATGAGAAAAGTAGGCTCAGCGCATTCGCGCCAAAAAATACGGGAAAATTACTCGGCCGGCCATGCCCCTGGACACCAGACTTGGCTACATAACAGTCTCCTTGGTGGTTCTTGGCCAAGACGCAAAACAGCAGTGATGTGTGCATGCATTTATTATTAGCATCGACCGTGTGTGTCTGTGTTCATTCAATATCTGACGTATCCGAGGGGGTCACACAGACGTAGTAAAATGAACCCCAGAAATGAATATCGTCGTTCAAGTACGTCGTGGATTGATGGCGACGCGAGCATTGCTATGAGCACGCACGCACAAGCAGTAATACTGCTACTCATTAATACTGCACCTCTTGTGTCTAGACTATCCAGCATTCCCCAAACTGTCGCCGAAAAAAATTGAACGACGCGATTGATTGATGCCTCGCGCCGACAACAACGACAATCGCATTTATCTGTACTGCTGTAACCGCCCAACCATGCAAGGGGGCGTCCAGAGTCGCATGGTACATACATAGCTACGGAAATTTTGGATCGATCGGGAAAATGGAAATATGAATGTACTGCTGTATGCTTGTAGAGTAGAGCAGCAGCAGTCCTTCTTTGACGCTGTGAAGTATATACTTGTGAAAACAGGAGGGTGCACTGCACGTGGACAGCAGCGTTATGCATAGGTAGGGTGCGTTGACAGCATTTCTCACGAGAACATCGTAGCATGATGGGCTCACACGTGCAAACCGGTTATACTATGTAGATATCTACTGTAAGTCGTTACAGCAGTAACTCCTCGTACGCGGTGCACCGCCCGTGTGACCACTAATAACAAAACGATGACTCCAGCCAACTACCTCCAGCCAACGTTGGTGGCGACGTGTTGACTAAAAAGGGTAGTCCAAGCATGCACAAAACAATGCAAATACCCGAGCGCTGGCGGGCACGGTGTGCCTAGGGTCTGCAGACAGCGCTGCCATGCTGTGGCAAGGGGAACAGCACGAAAGAAAAAGACAAAAAGTTGCCACACACAAAACGCCCGACCAGTACCTAACACATTTCTTCTGCACCTTCCCAACATAACGTATATGAGACACACAAGACAGCTACCAAACTGTCTTGTTGAGCCTGTTAACCGCAGGGGAGATGTCTCTATATGCTGTCTGGGAAACCGTAGACACACGTACTTTCTGACGCTATGAATTAATTGCTAATCTGTCTCAGACTCTTTTTTTGTTTCTGTTTTTTTTCTTAATATGACACAACGAAACCATCTCTTATCATAGAAAAGAGTCTGAGACAGATTAGCAATGGATTCATAGCGTCAGAAAGTACCTGTATGTCTACGATTTCCCAGACAGCATACAGGGACATCTCCCCTGCGGGTAACAGGCTCAACTCTTTTCTACGATAGAGATGGATTCGTTGT